ATTTCTGAAAGTGCTCTGTGCTACTTTCAAGCCTCCCAAACAGCCCTGTAGGATGTAACAGATTTATTTCTATCGTAATATAATATTTGTTGTGACCATCGTTCGCAAACTATTTGTAAAAGTACCTAATTGTTGACAAGTGAAATATTTTATTATGTCTATACGCATAGTAAACATGACATCGAGCCTATTAATGTAATGAACCTGCCTACGTAGAATTTCTTTCGTTGTGTAGTAAGTACAAAATGAAATTGCTGGACTTATTATTTTGTAAACGGTGCTAATTAAATTTTAATTAAAACAGTGCTAATTGTGAACACTAATAATATCTACGATACAATATAATTCAAATACTGTATTTGAATTTTACATGTATATTTATTGTATGATAAAAGTTTAATAAATCAGTTCTTATTTATAAAGTTAGTCGGTAATTTATTTTCCGTAAATACTGAAATCATACCAACGTATAAAAAGGTACATGTTTTCATGAGCTAATATGTTTAGCTATACCTGTAAATACTTATATGGCCTTTAAGAAATGTGTCGGTTGTAATATTTTGGGATGTAAACATATTGATGAAAAATTCTTTCCCAAGAATAGATTTTGCCGTTTAGGTACAAATATCTGTTGACAAAAATATCTGAACCCTATTGTTTAAAAAAATGGCATTCCTTAAATATACAATTCTGTTATTTAATGTCTCATGACGCTGGCAATCCTAAAATTCCAGACCTGATAAAGAAACACAAGGTCTTTAAATACTTATTTGCCAGAAACAGACTCCTTAAAAAGCGACAATTTTATACAACTTATGCTTAGGTATACTTACTACGCATTTTATGAAACCCTATGGAACTGACGTAATTTCATTGTGAGACATTGCTCACTAAATAGACGTATTAGTTTATCTTAGACATATATGTTTATGTCATCAATTTGATCATCATTCAATGCACGATATTAACTTTCCAACATCGTTATTATTATACCTTATTATATATATGTGGCCCAAAATTAATTACATGAATGTAAATGTGTGTCTATCCGTGTGTGTAGTAGCTTAAAACTAATAATTCCTTTCAATTTATTTTATGTAAAATTTACTTTAAAAAAAAACTACACTATGTCACTTACTAGTACCTGCACCTTCGTCTCTTTTTTTGAGGTAATTGATACCTCGTGATAGAATCTAACTTCACATTAAAGCCTGGTAATTACTAACCCAACATAATAGACATTATAACAGACAGATAGACCTGTTTCGCATGCATAACATTAGTATGGATTTTTAACTGACCCAAGATTGAAAGCGATGGTTCCAGCTTTATACAGAGCCCTTATTTACCTCTTATTCTCTCGTAGCTTTTTTTGTGTTATTTATTTACTATTGCATATTACTGAATAGTAATGTACTGAAATTGTTATTAACATTTAGTTTTATTATATGAGTCAATGAACTTTCTTCCATTCTATATCATTACTTATTTAAAAGAAAATACACGTGTTTAAAACATGGATGATAAAAACAAATTTTCCAGTATCAACTGGCTACTTACTACACTTATCAGAATCAGTATTTATCGTTATAATCTAAAATAATGATTTGTACATAAGTACAAGACGTATTTTTTTATTATGCTAGTTCATCACCCATTCTTCACGTGATTGTGTCATGGTTCTTCCTCAGAAAATTAAAAGTAGAATCCTTGGAAGGATTATTTTCTGTTTATTTGCATAAGAAATATATTTAGTATGGATTATTAATTAAAATCTTTTTCTTGGCATTATTCTATTTTGATAAATTAAGTTTTTTTTTTTGGAAGATGTTAATATGTAGACAATTTAAACAATTAACACAAACCTACGTATTTTCAACGCTAAGCGAAAACATATTAAATTTTTTATAAATTCTTGTTAGACCATTGTTAGACTTGTTAGACCATTTTTAGAACATTTCCTCTCAACCGATTGTGTTGAAAATTAATATAATACATAAGTCACATGACAAAGCAAATATTATATTAACAATGAGGTAGTTTGATGATGGAGTATGTGTTCGTCGGATTGAACTCTGGATTATGGAATTCACCATTAAGTTTGGACTCCTTAGATTTGTCTTAATCAGGATCTGATCGGCATATTTGTTCAAGTTAAAACTAGCTAACTAAAGATCTAAATATTAGTCTTCTAATGCAGCAGGTAAGTTTTGTAAGGTACTCATCTAAGACGCCAAGACTTGGATTCTTAGATAAGCATGTTTGAACATCACTTGGCTGAAATAAGACTTAATTAGTGCGAGTTATCACGTGCAGTATATCTGACATACGAATATAAAATTACATTTATTACATTACCTGTAATGTGATTACCACGTAATTGTTTATGTAATGTTATTGATAGTTATTGGATGTGATAAATTTAACAAACTGCGTGTGTCTGGGAGATGGCACGACATACTACTGGACAGAATAACATGTATTTAATTAGCTTGAGTTATCACGTGGAGAATGTCTGACCATTAAGTATAAAATTACGTCTATTACATTACCTACATTGTGATCACCACGCAATTATGTATGTAATATTTTTATGATAGGTATGATAGTTGTGATAAATTTAGTATCTTTACCGTTCGATTACGTTACTCTGGAAGAAGGCGCGGCATGCTCCTTGAGTGAAATAGTTTAATTAGCGTGAGTTATCACGAACGACTATAATATTACGTCTATTACATTATATACCTATGATGTGATTACCACGCAATATTTTATGTAATATTATTATAAATTATAGGTTTTTTTTAATATGGAAGACGGTTTACGGGTCAGTCAGTCTTTAAAAATTGGTGTTTACTAATTACGAGTTATTTTCGAAACGAACGAGAAATTTTCTTACAACCCGTTAAAATTAGTCTAAACGATCTATCTCTCTACTATTGCTTTCCTCATGTATAATAATGAAAAAAAAAATAAGAACCTCAATATTTTCCATTATTTTTTATATACTTTTTCTTTCGACTTTTCTATAATTTTCGTTCTGACAATTAGTCAAATATACACTATTTGACTAATTGTCAGAACGAAAATTACGTTGACGTCTATAGAATATTGATTTCATTTATAATATACCTACATAGATTTTAAATATTGAAAGTATAGATGAGTTAGACGTATTCAAAATACTTTTTTAACAGTCCAGGTCATTGTCGCGTAGGCGTCTTACATGAAGTTTTATGTATGATATCATTTCCTTTCAGCTCTAAAACGAATTCACTATTTCCACTTTTTTTCTTTCATTCACGATTTCTGTAGCCAATTTCGCAGATCATTTTTATATGTCTATTTTAATTTTTAACACAGTTACTATTTTATATCACACATCAATATTGCTTACTAATACTTTGAATTAAATAGAACTAGACAGCTCTGTATTAATTTGCTATTTAGAATTGCTGAAGCGGCAGTTTAGGCGTAACTTTAAACGAAGTCATTCTCAACCGCAGAACTTTGTATTTTACGGTCTCCTCAATTTATAATCAACTTCGGTAATACTTCTGTGCGGGTATCTGTTGGAGCTTGCAAGCTTTAAACTTTAATATTAGAAATGAATATTACTGTTATTTTTATTTAATCGGATTGTTCTTTACAATTCAAATGGTATGTTAATTTTGTTATATCTGTCTTAACTTAAACGCTTTATGTACGTACCAACTAGCAATAAATGAACAAATTATTATCCGACCTTTATTTTAGTTTAATATATTAAACATATATTTCTTTTTTACATTTCCAACTGTAATAACATTAATACAGTCGTTATCCAGGCCAAAACTGCTTTTTAATTTCGTAGTAAGTCCTATTCGTACTACATCAACGGGAAAATACGGTCGGTTTGCGTTTATAAAGAGGAATAACTGATCCCTTGGGATCCATTCTTATAACGTTCCTTTCGTTTCATTATACTGTTACCATGAAAGTGAAGCTGCAAAACTATGCTCCAAATAACCCAATTTACTGCGTATAATAGACACATACTCATTTTATCAAATTTCATTATCAACACTTAATTGTAATTGTATTCTATATATTAATCTAAAATACATACTATATTTCACCTGATTCATGCAAGTTTCTCCAACTGTTTCAGTAAGTAGCAAACATTTCATAATAGTTACAAACTTTGTATATATGTAATATAAATAAGGTTAACGAAAACCTTTAACATCCAATTAATCAACATTAATATTATAAATACCAAAGTATGTCTGTGCCCGTCTGTCTGTTACATTTTCACGACTAAATGGTTTAGATCTTATTGACATATCCCATGAGGGCAAAATGTAGGTACTACGAAAACGACCATAGGTTATCTTTTATATTAAAATATAATCTGTGGGAGAGTAAAATATAAACTAAAACTGTACATGAAAACATTTGGAATTGTCGAAATCCATTCCAATAAATGTCCAGTGAGACCCATATTAATCGTAGTCCCCTCTTATGAGCCGGCGTGTCTCGAGATAAAGAATACTTCGCTCCTTGGATTATTTGAACAGTCGATTTTCGGGAGTCGCCGTTAATCGGCATACTGGCATTGTTTGTTTTACTCTCACTTCGCACGAATTGTTTCATGGCTTTATTTGTTTAAGAAATAGATTCTTGATGAGTTTTTAATGTTTTCTTAAGTTACGAAATTGGCATCGTAATAAAGTTATAGTAAATTAAAATTTGTAGTTTCATGAATTGTTTTAGATTAGGCATTAAATTGCATTTCACGGAGAATGCATTTTTTTATTTCAAAACGGAGTTGGATCTTATATTACATACGTCATTGAAATACAGCGTCGGACTCAAGCTTTGTTACTCACAAAGCTATGTGTAAACATTTAATTTAATGTAATATTATTTACATTTAAAAAACTAATACCTAAATGGTACCTCGTTACCTCCAAATTGTTAGAGATTTGTGATTTTCATTTAATATTTTCTTTTCACAGTGTTTTCCAAAGGACAATGCGAAACCGGTCAATACCGCTTCCTGGCCAAGACCGGTGGATACGTTTGGGTCCAGACCCAGGCGACTCTCATCACGGACAAACAGCAGAAGCCCGTCAGCGTAGTCTGTGTCAACTACATCATAAGGTAGGTGTAGTGATAAGGATAATGACAAATAACAACATTACGTTTAACATTTCAGGTGATTTTTATACAAAATATTGCATATTTATAATTTGAACTTCAAATCAACGACATGTATTTAAAGGTAAGTACATTTTAATTATTGTATTATAATTTACTTGGAAATATATTTATTTAAGGTTATTTTAAATTACTATTTTCTGATCTACGGCTCGATACGATATGTATCACACATACATGTACCTATTGCAATTTTCAATGATTAAAAGTAAGCTACTATTAACAAAAAAGACTACAATTTTTTTTAAACGACTAATAGAATGATATTAGCATAATTTAAAGACTTTTTCTGATTTTGCTATAACTACTATGCCACTTAATTTATTTAAATATATAGTATAAAAATGTTCCCCGGAAGGTGTAAAATGATATTTTACATGACTGTTGATGATAACACCATATATTGTCAGATATCAAAAAATATTAAATAAAAAACAATCTGTTTGATTTTATTACAATAGATTGTTTTTACTACAAATTTATTTTAATTACCCTAAAAATCACTCCTTTTGGCTAAGGGAGCCAACAGGCTTCATACTTGACTGATTTAATTTTAGTTATAAATAGCAGTATACTTACAGATTTCTCTATATAAAAGAATTGATATTACTTTTGCTTCTGGGAACTGTACACGTGACTTTATTGCTTCGAAATATCAAAGTGAAGCCATCTGAGTGAAAAATCCTTCTTGGATTTCATGTTATTACGAACATTCTGGTGTAAAATAATATCCTTGTCAAATTCTTCTCGATCTCGTAGGATGCCAAATCTGGAAATCTATAATTAGGGATCACATTATCAGATGTCGATAATAGAAGAGGTGTTTTTTTTTTAGTTAGTCTTATATTTTAGTGTAGTTATTTACTTACTGGCTAGTACCCTCAAGTTCTGTTTTTATTGAGATAAAAGATAGGCTATCTATATATATATATTTTCGGATTACTATAATGCTGTTGGCCGCAGCTGGCCTTTACAGCTTCACCGGAATAGGCTATATATATACCATAAAATTTTTTTAGCTATTTTGTTTTGACTAGACAGACAAACTTTCGCGTCTATAATATAGGTATAGATTACTTTTAGTACAAGTTCTGTTTAGTTCAGTTTTCATTTCTTTAATCATAATTAATATTTTGAGCCGATTTTATAAATGAGTAAGAACAAGATCTCATTCATTTATAAAATCTTTCTTCTTATGTATATGTCACGTGATAACCAAACATGAAACCTTATATCCAAAACTAAATTGATTTCATTCTTTCTTTAGGTTAAGATGGGAATAACCGTTTTTAATGTCATAGAAATTACATTTTCATTATACATTTATTTATTTCGAGTTAATATCGGTTCAATTTTTATTTATTTTTAATTAAACTGGCTTACAATCATATTTGGTGGCCTGGCCCGTCTATTTAAAGAATTTTAATTTAATTAATTTTAATAAATAATTAATTTAATTAATGCCCATGATAAACCAGTCATTTGAGGACATTCTGGAGGACTAAGATGTCATGTCTCTTATTATGTAATTTCAGATTTTTTATAAAGTCTAATTTGGTACTAAAAATGAATAGATATTTAGGAGTACGTATGTAAGTAGATGGGATATGCTGTATGGCGAATCCATTTAAACTTCAAGCTACAACTTTAAAGTATTTCCGACGCATGTCAGGGACAGCATGTTAGCTACTCTACATAAACTATAGTATACGTCTAATTTCTTTGGCGCTGTTACTAAAATCATTATTTAATTAAAAATAAACATTTACTACTTACGATTAAATTCTAAAATCTTGCGAAAGACGAAAACATTATATTTTCCTAAAATTCCTTTACATAATATATTTTTTATGTGTAGTCAACTATAGTTTACGCGATTGTTGATGTGACCATAGATGATTTCTCTTATTATTTTATACCTACTAATAATATTTTTCGTGCAGCAAACAAGGAAAATTCCAAAATGAAATTAAAACTAAATGCATAAAAGGGCATGGACTTAAGTCTGGAAATCAAAAGCGTAACATAATAAAAAAAACCGCGATCCTCGATATACCTAATTTATTAACCTTTACCTTCATAATTGCTATTTTAGATGGAGGGATCATAATATTTGTTACCTTTTAGCAGTTTAACTAATCGTGAATATACAAGTTGTATAGAAAGTATTTAATATAGTGTATAATTATAAGAACATTTTATACCGAGGAGGAAGTCATGTATAAAAAGTAATATTTTATATTTACTTTACACGTTTGCTGCGTTGTTGTTACAAAACAAACTTGTATCGTTTATTCTTATCAAATAGTCCCTCTTTGTCTAGATAAAAGTTCAAAGGGTTGAACTTATTGTTTGCGCAGTCTTTTAAATGTGTTACATAATAAACCTAGTATACATTTATGCAAGTTTTCTCTAAAGAGTGACCTGTTATGAAGATGGTTCTATTAATCATGTACAGAATTAGATATTTAATTATTTTTACTTAAACAACTTGTACCTAGTACAAATTTTATTCACAATTACTGAAGAAATCTATGCCTTTATTTCGCCATGAGATAGTAATATAAATAAACCTAATATAAACACAAGAGTGTTTATATTAAAAAAAGAGTAACACGCAAGTTAACTATTCAAGAGAATAGTTAACTTGCGTGTTACTCTTTTTTTTTATCATATAAATATTAATTTATGAAGCTTGTTCAGAATTTTAACAATGTTGTATGAATACAACACATGGGACTTCCAAATCAAAGATGTTATATATAAATCTTGCACTACTTTCGAACAAATTCTTAGGGGTCGTATAATAAGGTTAAAAACATTTTCATTTCCCTTCCAGATGACGTTGACATTTCATTATATTTTTACGACGTCATTCTACTTTTATATATAAGTACTGTATTCTGTCTCATCGTAAACAAGAAAATATTTTCAGGTTTTCTTTGTTAGAATTATTACTTTTCTATTTGAGAGTACTTTTATTTTTTGTTTATTTCTTTCAATTTACTTCTCTCTGATGTCTACGATATAATCTAATATCTATTGTACAGTTTCCTACATTTCATTCCGAACGTTTTTATTTGTATAGACTTGATGTAATTTCATTAAGGTACCTGTTTGTTTTTGTTCAGATAAAAAAGATCTGTTTATTTTGAGCAGACTTCAGAAAAGCATAGGTTGTCAATTTGACGGCCTTTGTGCCAATAATTTTGCATCGATTTTTTTGTTTAAAATCGATGTCGACATCTGTTTCATTTTCATACATTTTGCCTTCGATTGTAGTCCGTTCTTGTTGCAGAATAAAATGTAATTGATCTTAATTATGTGTAGCAGACACATGTCTAATTTAAGTTCTTGCGTACTTGCAATCATTAAATAAGTCTGTTGCATTGATAAGCAACGAGTAAACCTTTTTTTTATGAATAGGGATTTAGTCATTGATTGTCAGTAACGTGATTTTTATATACTACAGGGCTTATTAGATAAAATAATGACTGTGTAAGGCACTGTCCCGTGTTATTCACTTGGCGTTATCTGATAATGTTTTATATTTTTAGTATTTAATCAGACAGTTTGTCAATATTATGACATAACTGTATTTAGTTGAAAAGATATGACAAATTTATTTGTCGCCAACAATGTAGCCAACATGAACGTTGACATTTTTGATGTTTCTAAAATTACATCTCTTACTTTGTTCACATTCATAACTGATTCATTTAGGTTTATTTGTATTATGTGCAGACTTGTACAAAATATCTGCGGAGTTTTCCTACTCGGCGGTAGATTTAGCAAGCGGTAAGTTCCCATATTATTTTCTAAGTGAATCAAATATTGGTGTGAAACTCAAGTCAGAGTTTTCACCCAGTTTGGCCCTTACTCGAACTACACTGGCCTGTCCATTGTCATTTCAGCAACTTTTAAACTAACTCAAGTATATTTGCGGACCTTACTGGACAGATTGATTTTTTTAGTAAATAATATTATTATTTTAATTTTATCACAAATTGATGACATCATTATATATGCTAGTATCTACAAAACCATATCATGAATTTATTAAAGTACCCATTACGATATTCCTAGTGCCCTCGTTTATTGAAACTTAATTCAAAAAGTAGTTTAAACTAAAATATTAAGAAATATAAAATAAAATATTAAGAATTATTACGCAGATATCATGGGAATATTGGCACTGACAATTTTAGAAACGTGAAACGAATGAAATTAAAAAAAAAAAGGTTTTGGTTCCATGTAATAACCATCTGTATACCATCTTTATACATGCTGACTTAATAACATCTATGTTTTCCCACTTTCATCCGTCACTCAAGGGTCCAGAATTCTCATATCACGCTCACAATTGAGACCGTTACAAGTTCGGGCGTAAATTCACACATATATAACTTGGTGTGTGGCCAACACTTCGTCTGTGCACATAATACTAGCAAATATTTGTCACTTGCTTACACCATTGGTATGTTTGCAATTCAGAAGTTATACTTCCTTTCATAATACATTGCTATTTTATCTTTCCGAACTATAAAATGGACATTCACGATTCTATTGCATTTTTTATGTTTGCCAATATTTTCCTATTTCGAAGGGATTATTTTTGTGATTACGTCCTTGTCGCACTAGCTGTTTATTATATATTTGTATTTAAAACAATGAAACAAACTACTCAACCGATTAGGTTTACTCTCTGTTGATTTCATACAGATTTCCTTCCACAAAAAGGGACAACTACGCTTGAAATTTTTGTGAATGGATACGTTAATATTGACCATATTTGAAATAAGCGTTTGCGTATAAGGACTGTCTTTAAACTTTGTTAGTATGTAATGAATTCTTAACTTCACAGACAGTTTAAATATCCAGATAGATGTCTCAAATAGATAACATAATGACGTAGGCCCTACTAGTAAACGAAACGCTAAAGT